TTTCAGTGGTGATATTCGAATATTCAGGTTAGAATTTTTTTTAAATTTTAAAAAAATTCATGTCTAAATTTTTAAAAAATTTTCAATTGTGATATCTGAGTATTCAGGTTAGAATTTCTTAAAAATTCTTTCTATAGTGATATTCGAGTTTTTTCAAAATTCACTCGATGGTGATATTCAAGTATCATTGTTTGAATTTCATTGAAATTTTAGGTGGGAGCTTTAATCAAAGTCACTCAGCGTGATATCCGAGTTCTCTTAAATGATGATATCCAAAGTCATTTGTATTTACTCAATAGTGATATCTGAGTATTTTTTTATGGTAATATCTAAAGTCATTTGAGTTCTCTTTGGTAGTGAAATCTAAAGTCATTTGAACTTACTTAATGGTGATATTTGAGTACCTAGGTCTAAATTTGCATCTCTTCTCAGTGGTGATATCTGAGTATCCTTTAGTGGTAATTTCTGAAGTCATTTACGTTCACTTGGTGGTGATATCCAAGTACTCTTCAGTGATGAAATTCGAAATCATTTACATATACTCGATGGTGATATCTGAGTATCCAAGTTTGAATTCACATTCTTCTTCAATGGTGATATCCGAAGTCATTTATACTCAATAGTGATATCTGATGTCTATTTGGTGGTAATATCCAAAGTCATCTCATTCTTTGATGATGGTATCCAAGTTTTCATTTAGACTTATTTTCAAAAATCTCTAAAAGCCAAAAAAAAACTAAATAATAAGAAAAAAAAACAAAAAATGAATTAGAAATGATGATAAATGGATGATAAACTAAATAGTGAAAAATTAAAATGATAAAGGACGAAATGATTAATGAGTGAAGGAAGAAGGAATGAATGAATTGAAAATTGAAGAAAACCAAGAAATGGAAAAATAATAAAAGGTAAATGATGACATTTTTGGGCAAAGTTTGACAAATAACTATTGAAAAGATCAAGCCAAAATGATTGGTAACAAGAGGAGGAAGAAAAAGAAAAATGCTAGAAATTGAGAAAAAACTTCGATCAAATGATTATGATTTGACTACTAATGACTTATTCAAGAACCAAAAGTTTAAAGATAATTGTGGTTAGGAGAACCTTGTTTCCATAAATACAAATGCATGATGTGGACAAAAATTTTGGAATGACATAAATTGTATACCTTACATTCATTACATACACTGCATGGATTTGATTCTGGAAAAGCAAACACATCATCAGAAAATGAACACATTCCAAGGAAAAGCTAAAGGGAAGAAACAACCCTAAAAAAAAACAATTCTTTTCAAGATCTCTAACATAACCCCACTTTTCAAAGATAAGACTCTCAAAACTTTTCAAATTAAGATTTCTTAAATTTTGTTGCCTATTTTCATATGAGCCCTCTTCAAATTGAGTTTTTTTTTTTTTTTAAGTTCATTGCCTATCTTCATAAAAACCATTTTCAAATTGAGATTTTTTTTAAAAAGTTTGTTGTCTATCTTCATAAGAGCCCTTTCCAAATTGAAATTTTTAAAGTTTATTACCTATTTTTGTAGGAGTCCTTTTCAAATTAAGATTTTTTTAAAAGCTTGTTGCCTATCTTCATAGGAGTCTTTTTCAAATTAAGATTTTTTTAAAAAAGCTTGTTGCCTATCTTCATAGCATCTTTTTCAAAATGAGATTTAAAAAAAAAAAAAAGTTTCCTAACCTATGTTTATAGGAGCCCTTCCAAAATTGAAATTTTCAAAATTTTTGGTTTTAAAACTTGTAATGGTAAAAAAAAAAACTCTAGTGCAAAACCAAACAAACAGCACACAAGCAAAACCCTCTTAGCCTTTGGTTCCAAACAAAATCGGTATCCTTGGTTTTTGCATTATTTTTTATTCTAAAAAATACACAAAATGGATATTTACAAATACCTAATTTTATCCGGACAAATACCTAACGTTTTCATTAATTTTGACAAGTTTTTAAAATCAAAATTGGGACCAATTGACTTAAATGCCCCAAAGTCAAACTTGGTCAAAATTGATCAATATCAATTAAACCAGATTGAACTCGAGTCAATTTTTCAAAATTTACTACCAAATGGAATTAATCAGCCTTGGGAATGATCTTTGTGATTTTAAAGCACTAAAAAGTTAAATTACATTTCGAGAAGGGTAAAATTACGAAATACCTTTTAAGGGTATTTTCGTTATTTGACCTTCTTAAAGTTGATTTTTCACAAAAAATTTTAGATCATGATTTAATATTATTTGATGATTTTTGAAATATTGAAAATCTTAATCGTACCTCGAAGGTGTGAAATTACTAAAATACTCTTTTAGGGTATTTTGTAATTTGACATTCCCAAAGTCAATTTTTCATGAAACATTTCAAATAATTTTTTTAAAATTATTTGATAATTTTTGGTGCATTAAAAATCTTAGCAATACCTCGAAAAGTATGAAATTACTAAAATATTCCTTGTACGTAATTTTATAATTTGACATTCCCAAAGTCAAATTTTCACCAAAATTTTTACATTTTAATTTTATATTATTTCATGATTTTTGGTGTTTGAAAATTACAAAAATAAATAAGGGAGCATTATTTTCTAAGAAAATGTTCTAGAATCTGAAAACTTTCTAATTATAGGGTAAAATGGTATTTTCACTTAGTTCCAACAGCATTAAAAATTCAACTTTTGGTGGTGAGCATCTTAAACCATATGATCTTCTTGAAAAGCTAAATCCAATGGTGAAAGATAGCTCTTTACAAAGGAGAAAAGGGATGAATATAGACCATTAGATGCATCTCTAATCCAAGGGCCAAGATTCAATTTGAAGAGATATTTTTCATGCTCATTTGAAAGAGAAGGGGGACATAAAAGAGAAGAAGTAGAGAGGGGCTAGAAATGTAGAAAAAATAAGGGAAAAAAGAAAAAAAAAGTGAAAAAAAAAAGAAAAAAAAAAGAGAGAAAGAAAAGTTGGAGAAAGCTTAGAGAAGATATAGTCTCCATTTTATTTTCTTACATTCCATTCCATTTTCATCTCATTTTTATAACATTTTTACATTGGTTCTTCATTCATTATTTTATCTTTCTTTTGAGAAACTTGTAGTTCTTCATCTTTCTTTTTTTTTTTATCAAAGTTTGAATCAAATTTTATCCAACTAATTCATAGTTTGGATTGAAGTTAAAGAATCAAACAACAAAAAATTTAATACCACCATTAACACCATTTGGTGGTTCATTCAACCTCCACTTCACCATGGCCGAACCTCAAATTAGTTCTTTTTGTTGATTTACTTTCTTTCAAATGTTATCTATGATAATTAAATGATGAGTTTACTTATGTTTTGTATGAATTTTGATTAGTTAGTGATATGTGTTGGTGTTTGGTTCATGTTCTAGTTCTTCATAGATTCCATGCTATTTTAGTTTACTATATGTTTAATGGAATTCTCTTTTTAATTAAAATACCTTCAAATGATGAATGTTGTGATGTTCAATGCATGCTTGAGTGAGATGGAATGAAAATGTGATTGTGTAAGTGCCATGGGACATTCAGCCAAGGTAGTTCCATGCTTGACAGAAACTTGTTCTTCATTTTGTGGTCAAATATTGCTTGATTCCATGTGTTTGATTATGTTTTTGCTATGTTTTTCAAGTTTTCAATGTGTTTGATCCATTTTCAATAGATAAAATGTTAGTTAATAAGCTGTTTGTTTGATTTTTAAAAAAGAAAAATGGTGGAATATGTCTTTCAAAGTTTGAAAAATTTTAGTATTTAATTCATTTTTCTTATGTTTTCACATGCAAATCTTATTTGTAATTTAGTTTTGTGAATACCTAAATTTGTAATTTGTTTGTTCTCTTGTCATGCACATGTCACATGTATCAAATACTTATATTTTTCCCAATGACATTGTTGTAATTTATTTTGGTCACATGCATTTTCTCATGAAATCTCAAATTTAAAATCTTAAACTCTAAACCCTAAACCTTAAATATTAAATCATAAACATTAAACCTAAACATTAAATCTTAAATCCTAAATCTTAAACTCTAAACTCTAACTTAAACCTAAAATCTAAACACTAAATCTTAAACACTAAATCTTAAACTTTAAACTCTAACCTAGACCCAAACCTTAAACCGACCCACAAAGCCTAAAACAACCATTAGCCCTCATTCATATATTTACATTTCATTTTACTTTGTTACATGCATCCTTGAATTGTCCTACATCCATATCATGTCATTCATATCATGTATTCATTATACATTATGTTTTTGTGTGTCATGCATTTGTTTTAAAAAAATAAGTTTTTAAAGTAAAATATTTTTAAATAAAATAATATCTTGAGTAAATATAATCATTAAAATCGAACCTAAATATAAAATAACTCTATGTTGTGAGATAATTTAAAAATTCTTAAATTAAAGATATTTTTAAAAATCTACCTAAATATAAAAAAGTGAAAAAAATATCTTGATACTTAAGTTTTTTTTTTTATTTATTTTGATTCATAAATAAAATGCTTTGTTTTCAAAAAGAAAAAAATTCAAGTTTTTTTTTTTTTATGAATTAAAAAAAAAGAATTAATTTCTAATTACTAAAATAGAATCATTTTTAACCAAAGTTTAAAAATAACATGCAATTAATTTAACTAAAATTTCAAGATAACATATAATTAATTGATATCATTTTTTAAATACACTAAAAAAGTACTATTATTCCCCTACACGTAATCGATTGATTTCACAAACGTTAATTTGTTGTTTTTATAAAACTTTTAAAAATTTTTATATGTTTTATTAAAAAGATAAAATATTTTTAAATGATCAATCACACGTTAAAAAAAATTAATGACGACTCTTTATTTTAATTTTTATCGAAAATGCTTTTTAAAGCCCCCATTTTTTCTCATTCCCCATTCGTCCCGTGCTCAAGTCACCATCCCCGACCGCGAATCATCTCGACACAACACAACTCTAAGCATCACTTCATTGATAGCAAAAAGAGGCTTTACAGAGATTGTAGACATAATTTGGCAGACATCATCCATAAATATGACAGTGCTAAACAAGAAAACAGAATAATAGATTATATGGCTACTTATGTTCTTATGAAGCATCTTTCATAAGTAAAAGACAAACAGTTCTAACAAAATGACATGCAACACAACCCTAAATATTACTTCATTCATAGCATAAAAAGACTCAAGACAGATGGGCAGAATTTGACAATCTTGCAGCACACAGGAAGATAGACAGTTCTACACAAGAAGACAGAACGATAGGAAGGACATAAGGAAAAGGGGGGGGGGGGGGGGGGGGGGGAATACGCTCACACACTGAATTGATCTTCAAAGCAAATGCTTTTGCATAAGTACATCAATAGTCTTCACCTTCCTCTTCATCATCTACACCTTCAGCACCAACTTCTTCATAATCTTTCTCTAGTGCAGCCAGGTCCTCACGTGCTTCTGAGAATTCACCTTCTTCCATGCCCTCACCAACATACCAATGGACAAAAGCTCTCTTCGAGTACATGAGATCAAACTTGTGGTCAATGCGTGCGAACACCTCCGCAACTGCTGTATTATTGCTTATCATGCAAACAGCTCGCTGCACCTTAGCAAGATCTCCTCCAGGTACAACAGTTGGGGGCTGATAGTTAATACCACATTTGAAGCCAGTTGGGCACCTGCACATCCAAACAAACTTTTTCAGACAAAAGGGCAATCTTTAATATATGATGCTACTGTACATAAGCAATAAATATGCCTGCATTAACCCCTTAGCATTTCATAACCTCCTAAAGCAATAAATCTAGATATCCTAGCATATTGCTGGTGTGGCAAGAGACGCATATGAGGTTGCATGAATCAAACTCCACAAAACAAAATTTGGCGCCAAGTTACTGTTCCTAAAGTATTGGAGCATTAAAAGAGGAAAAAGAAACGATGACCAGGACAATTTGAGTTTCAGCAAAAGAGATCTAGAAAGTAATAATCAAAACCAATTTTTCTAGCCATTGAACTACTGAAGCAGAGCTTTGCATCCTTCTATACCAGATTCTCTTACCAGTCAACAAACTGCACAGTCCTCTTGGTTTTGATAGTAGCAACAGCAGCATTAACATCCTTGGGGACAACATCTCCTCGATACATGAGGCAGCATGCCATGTACTTCCCATGCCTAGGATCACACTTCGCCATCATGCTTGAAGGCTCAAACACTGCGTTTGTGATCTCAGGAACTGATAATTGCTCATGGTATGCTTTCTCAGCTGAGATAACTGGTGCATATGAAGAGAGCATGAAATGGATGCGGGGATATGGAACAAGATTGGTTTGGAACTCTGTAATGTCCACATTGATGGCTCCATCAAACCTTAAAGAAGTTGTTAAGGATGATATGATTTGAGATATCAATCGGTTCAAATTGGTGTAAGTTGGCCTCTCAATATCAAGGGATCTCCGGCATATGTCATAAATAGCTTCATTGTCCAAGAGCACAGCCACATCTGTGTGCTCAAGAAGGGAATGAGTGGACAGAACGCTATTGTAAGGCTCCACAACTGCTGTTGAGACCTAAGAGTTTAACAAAAAAAATCCAAAGGTCAGTCCTACACAATTTAGTCAAATTTTTTTCTTACCATTTAAAAAAAATAATTGTGCTTAAAATAAAAAATTGCATGGTAAAGTTAAAATAATGCTACATAAAAGTTTCAAAGGCTAAATATAAAGCATAGCTATAGCAAGCTGAAATGCAATTGCCACTGGCTTTTCAGCCATCCATGTTATTAAAAAGTCATAATATTCATGAGTTAGAAGTATCAAAACAGGTAAGTACTTGCGGTGAAGGATAGATGGTGAACCCTAGCTTTGACTTCTTTCCGTAATCTACAGACAAGCGCTCCAACAACAAAGACCCCAGACCAGAACCAGTTCCACCTCCGACAGCATTAAACACCAGAAAGCCTTGCAAACCAGTGCAGTTGTCAGCTAACTTCCTAACTCGATCAAGGCAGAGATCGACAATTTCCTTACCAACTGCAAAACAGAAGCGGAATCAGAATAAGCCAACAAGAACAAACAATACCAAGAGCCTCGAGGGAAATGATGTTTATTACTTGTATAGTGGCCTCTGGCAAAATTATTGGCAGCATCTTCCTTGCCAGAAATAAGCTGCTCAGGGTGGAAAAGTTGTCGGTAAGGGCCAGTCCTAACTTCATCGATAACAGTGGGTTCCAGATCAACAAAGACAGCTCTAGGAACATGCTTTCCTGAACCCGTTTCGCTGAAGAAAGTGTTGAATGCATCATGTGCCACACCCACAGAGCTGTCACTGCAATCACCATTAAACTTCTTCAGTAAAACACAGTAGCAATACCATTACCCGAAGGGAGTAAAAGGAGAGAAAAAGCAACTATTATTCCTTTACTGGACTCGATCTTTTGTCATCCCTAAAATTGATTCAGATCTTTGTTAAAGGGGAAATGGGTTTTCAATTTTGATCTCAAAAAGAAAATAAAAGAAGAAAACAAAACCTGGGCATCATTCCATCAGGGTGGATTCCATGTTCAAGACAGTATAGCTCCCAGCATGAATTCCCAACTTGAATCCCAGCTTGCCCTATATGGATGCTTATAATCTCTCTCATCTCTCTCCTTTTTCTTTCTTCCTTTTGTCAAAATAAGTGACTATGGATCTGATCTAACAAACTAGAAGAATGGAAGGCAAGGAAAGGACCAAAATTAAAAGAAGATGGAAACATACAAAATAAATTTTAACTAATGGGATTTGATGATTTTTTGGCTTCCGCAAATGATATAAGGGTTGGGCGCCAGCCTTTTCCTGGGGCCCAAGTTTTTGGTACCCGACTCAGTTTTTTGATTTTGAATAATAATAAGATTAAAATATTTAATAATAAGAGTGTAATCGATTAAATTCGAGTTAATGCAGTATTAAATTTGAGTTTAAACTCAATTCAAAATTTGAGATTCAAAATTTAATTTAAACTCGATCAAATTTTATTTTTTTAATTCGAACTCTATTCAAAATAAAAAGTAAATTACTTGAATTTGTTTAATTACGTTCGATTACTATGTAAAAATAAGTTCGATTTTTTCATATTCAACAAAAGTTTAATTATTTGTACTCGATATCGAGATCAAGATATTTTATTAATTAAAATAATAAAAATATATTTAAATATAAAAACTCGATTAGGCTCGTGAGTTATTTGAATCAGATATAAAAATACTTAAACTCGACTCGATCGATGAATCAAGCTACTTGAGCTCGAGCTCGACTCGATAATAATCGAATTGAATTTGAGTTTTATTCGAATTGAACCCGAGTAACTTACGAGTACTAATGTATAATTTATACTCTTATCTTATAAAATGATAATATGATATTTTAAATACAGATACATTTTTGTTACATTAACATACTTTTTTAAAAAAAATTTATAAATTAAATTATTAAAATATTTATCTCACAAAGTTTATAATTTTCAAAAATTCATTTTTGAAAAATCATAATACATTTCATAAATACATTTTTGAGAACTTATAAAAGAAATTAAACTTTTACGAAAAATTATATAAAACAAGAAATTTTGTTAAAATTATTTGTAAATAAGTAAAATGAAAAAAGTTATTATTAAAAATTATAAATTTTTAAAATTAATAAAAAATTACTTTTATTATTTTCATATTAGACAAAAGAATAATGTCTTATGAAATCCTAAGTAAATTAAAGATAAAATAACAAATATAATTTTTTATAAATTTAAAATTTATTATTTTTTAATAAATATTATTTATCGATTATTAAAAGTTTATAATAGTTTTAATTAAACTAAATTTCTTAGTGAAGTCTCTCCATATATTTAGCACGATGAATTTCTCTAATTAGTATGTTAGATTTTGATAAAATTTTATAGTATTCAGTAGTATTACTTATATTGCCTCTTTATTCATACGTAATCAATATTGATTAAGAAAATCTTCAACTTCGAGTTAGTACTAATTATTCCAACACCCTTCTTACTGGTTTTCAAATTCATGTAAGACCGAGGACATGACAATAATGATTTTGTAGCATTTTGACAAAATTGTGTAATATTTAGTAATATTACTTATATAATTTTAAAGAGTTTCAACTCTTATTTGCTGATCAAATCTGATAATTCTTTCATCACCTTTGATAACATCAAAAGACAAAATATTTAGTTAAAACTTTATAAAATTTTATTTTTTTCTCCAAAATTAAAATAGTAAAAGTAATTTTTTATTAATTTTAAATTTATATTTTTTAATACTAATTTTTTTATTACACTAATTTATAAATAATTTTAACAAAATTTTATTTTTTTGTAATTTTTCATAACTTTTCACTTTTCCACCTTCAAAAATGCATTTATGAAAAGTGTTAGATATTCGAAAACTTGTAAGAACGATATTTAAGTAACTTCACTTAAAAAAATTTTGAAAAAAAAAGTGGGATATATTTAGAAAATAGGTGGGGTGTATTTAGAATTCTCCAATAATAATTTTCAAATTTGGATAATAAATTTACTATTAGTGTTGGATTCAGGTTAGCTTTAGGTAACATTCCTTTATTATCTAATACATTTAACTATTTACATAAGTAAATATGTAAAATTTTATAGTTGAAAAAAAAAATTGAATCGTAACAAATGATCCTTCTTCTTAATAGCACTATTGGGTGAATTAATCTTATATTATGTAATAAATTGATACACAAATATACTTATATTTTCACTTAAAAATTTAATTATCACATGTAATAAAATATAATAATAAATTATTTATAAAAATAATAAATAATAAAACAAATTATTAAATTAATAAAATTTTCATATTAAGTAAACATGCAACTTTTAATGTATAGACATACATGATATTTTAGTACAATATACAAATCTTAACGTTTTAATATATATACATGCACGTATATAATTATATAAATATTTATTAGTCTTTTGTAACTTGATTAAGGAATGAAGTATAGGATAAATAATACACTTGTTATATTTTTTATTTTTATTTTTTAAAAAATAAAATCTATTATATTTCATCTTAAGAGTTATATTAAAAAATAAAATCTATTATATTTCATCTTAAGAGTTATATTAATATTTATCTTTTTTATTTGTGTAGGATCATGTTCAATGGCTAATTCAAATTGCACATTTATTGTTGAGAAAGAGGAATAATTTTTCATAAGTTGACGGAAGTAAGTTTTATGATTGTTTCAATTTATGAAATAGATGTATCAAGTTGATTGTTTCTTTATCAAATATTTAAATTAATGTGTTTAATTTCATAAACGTTTTTTTATTATCTAAGTTATGGTTTGTTCTATTTTTGAAGTTGTTTGCTATTAATTAAGAATTGTTCGTTATATTTTAAAAGTTGTTTGTTATTAATTAAAATTGAATTTAAATTTTAAATTTATTTTTTTATTTTATTTCTTCAAAAAAATTTAACTAATTGAGTATTTAAGAGATTCGAATTTTAAGAGATTTGAATATTATAATTAGTAGTGTTCATTTAATCATATTAGGGTTTAAATAGTAATACTCAAATTTAATCTAATCATTCAAATATCGTGAAAATTAATAGGGTTTGAATACGGGTGCCAAAAAAAGAATAGGTATGTGATTCATCATCATTTTTTTCCTCATTTATTTTAAGAGAAAAAAATTAAATATTCTATCTCACATTGTTTTAGTTTAATTTTTAAGAATCAAAACTTTTTAATTTTGATTTTATTTTATTTTAAATATATTAATAATTAAAATATAAATTTTTTAAAAATATAGAATAAGGAATTTTTCAAATATAATTTTATGGAATAATTAATTTAATAGATATTTATAATATAGATGATCAAAGTTAATAAAATCTGATCATAAAATATCAAACCGAACATATATATAGAGATATTGTAGATTTCAACAAGAGCCTGCCACGTATTAGACATTTGGTTTGTCACGTGACAGTTTCTTGATTTTTATATTTTTTATTTTTTGTTACGAGACCCGCTTACTTTTTTTAATTTTTAAAATGTGTGGGATTCACTCATTCACCTCTTTCTTTTGTTTTGCGTGTGGAACCCCCACCTTGGTATTTTTTCCTTTCGTTTTTTTTCTTTTTTATTTTGTGAGGTTAATTTGCTTTTTATTTTTAAAATGTTTTTAAAGCTGTGGGGCCCTCTTTTTTTTTTTGTCAATTTTTTTGGGTCTAGGATCACACCTTGGTTTTTTTTTTTTCCTCCCGGTTTTTTATTTAATATTTTTTCCAATTTTATTATATTTAATAATTTTGAAAATATAAAAAATATATTTTTAAAGATATGTTTGTGTGGGAGTTATTTATATCAAACAATTTTCTTTTCTTTTATTTTTCTTACTTTTTTCTACTTCTTCCTTTTTTAATTTTTTCAAAAAATTTAAATTTTTTAGTTTTAATTTTATTTTGAAACTCACTTTCTAACATTGTATATCACAAATTTGATTTTTTCTTTTTGATTTTTATATAATTGATAAACTGTTTTTTAAATTTAATTTTTTTAAGACCAGCTTTATAACAATGATGTACACTATGTCAAGCCATTTGATTTTATTCATTTTTTTATTTTTTATTTTTTTGCTAACTTTTTTAATATTTAATAAATATTTTTTATATTTTGCCCATTGAATATTATTATTAAAAATATATGTTTTTTTTAATTTCATCATTTTAAAGAAAATTATATTAGTAGATGTGTTGGCATCACATCATAATTTGATTTTTTACTCTTTTTGGTCTTACTTTTTTTTGTTTTTTTAGTTTGTTTTTTAATTTATAATATAAATTTTTCAATAAAAGCTCATCATTCTAACATTGCATGCGAACTTAACTTGTTTCCTTCTTTTTGCTTTTCATCTTTTTTTTTTCTTTTTTTTGAGGCTTTTTTTTAATTAGATCATTTTACAAAAACCAACGACTGAGTATATATAGCCTAATTTCGTTATTCTTTTTGCTTTTCAGTTTTTTTAATTAGAAGCATTTTTTAATAAAAGAAATTGGTAAACCAATTTTTGAAGAAAAAGATCAATGTGCATGTATATGATACAACACATGTATTCAATAGATTTCGATTCGTTTAAATTTAATAAATGTATTTTTTCTAAAATTGAAATTGATTCGAGTTTTTTTTTTTAAAAAAATACGAGTCAAGTTGGATTCAAGTTTAAGGTGTTTTGTCCAATTTGGATATATATATATATATATGTTTTATTATTTCATTTTATTTTATATGTATATATAAAAAATATTATTTAATACCTTAATTTAATGAATCTACATTTCATCTCCATTTGCCTACTTTTTTTTTTACTTTTTTTGCCATTCCCTTTAATTTTTTTTAAAAAAATTACCTTTTTTAGATTAAATCAATTTTGTAAACAAAAAATCAATAGATGTAGAATGACAAAACAATTCATATCTCATTAATTTCTATTTGGCCCGAGCCAATATGCATCTTTTTTTTAAAATTTGAATCAAATCGATGTATACCATTTTTAATATTAAGGTCAGATTGAATGGCGATTTAGAGTCTTTTATCATGTTTTGAGTATATATAAAATTATATTTTTAATTATTAATTTTATTTTGTATTTATGTATTATTATATAAATAAAATTATTGTTTAATATCTTTATTTAATATAAATACTATATTTATACATAATTAAAATTTAATTCATCGTGTATTCAATCATCTTATAAATAAATCATGTATATGTAT